TTTATAACAAGGTTTGTAGCGTAACAGTTAGCGTCACCGCCTTCGGAACTGAAGGTCCTGGTTTTGCTTCTCGGAGGATACATTTTCACCATTCTCTTTAGTAGATGTAGTTTGACACACAGTGCTTATTTGCATACATTAGATGGCTCTTAAAATATCCTTTGGGTTTGTGGAGCGGCAGGCAAGTGTCAGTGTGTGTGGTGGTGGGGTACTACTGCGTGTGTCTTGCTAGAACGGAGGAGAGCCCAGCTCTCAGACTCTCAAGGAAGAAAGAGATCGTTGCCCCTCATCCGTGAGCGCGGCGGATTGTGGTCATGCGCCTGTCATGGAGAAATTCAAGCTGGCCCATGTGGAGCTGACAAACGACTTATGTCAATTCAAATGCACGCGGAACACATTGTACTACACTCTATCAATACTTAACATGTATGTTCTGTTCCACATCTGTGAGTACTCCCACCTGTTTTCATATTCACACTGCCGTTTATAAATGAGGACATGTGTGCTGTTTTACTGCAGTTGGACCAGCAGTGTTCAGCATTACTTAGGACATTCGTAGCTGAAGTTTTGTATTCAAGGTTTTAGCGCACCCAGCTGTTATGCTGTATTATAAACAGGGCTGTTTGACCCCTGAATGCTGATTGGCTGAAAGCCGTGGTGTATTAGACCGCATACCACTGGTATGACATTTAAAAAAAAAAAGTTTTAACTGTTCTATTATAATGTTGGATAATAATATTGTACAATCACCTTTCGGTGTAAAAAACAAAAACAATGTTTTAAGTAAGAATAGGCATTGGTCTGAAGCTTAAAAAGAAAGGAGATTGCTCTGAAAACACTTCCGTCTCGCTTCCGCATTACATTTACATTTTACATTTTAGTCATTTAGCAGACGCTCTTAACCAGAGCGACTTACAGGAGCAATTAGGGTTAAGTGCCTTGCTCAAGGGCACATTAACGTCATTTAGCAGACGCTCTTAGCCAGAGCGACTCACAAATTGGTGCGTTCACCCTATAGCCAGTGGGATAACCACTTTACAATTTGGGGGGGGGGGGGGGCATTGTCTCCGTACTGCTGTGCTGTTTGTTGCTACTTGGCTACCTGCCAAACTATTCACGTTTTACTTTTAATAAACGTTTAATCAATCTCTGTGTTCAACAAATTTACCAACTTTTTAGTTTTGTCCTCACTCATCTTTTTTCGTTAAACTTTTTCACCCCGGACGTTTATCCCGAGACAGAAGAGTCATTTTCCTGTGCGTTTTAGCTGCCAACTTTACGTTATTTTCCTTTTTTCCATCGCAACTTTTTTCCCTTATTCAACTTTTTCACTCCGGACGCTTTATCTGGACATGGTTCATCAACATCTTCAACAGCCGAAGCTAAGTAGTAACATTAACATGATGTCTTCTAATTGCAGTCGCTGTACTCATAATATAC